CTGGAGAGAACTGTCCCTGCACACGACTGTCCCCTACCGCGACCCTGGAGCCAGCTCACTCCGCACAGGGCCAGCACAGAGTCCAGAAGTCTGGAAACTAAGTGAACTGGGCTGGAGGACGGCGAAGAGAGAAAGTGGGGAGGCGCCGAGTTGACTCTCTTCTTTTGGCGGGGAAGGAAGGAGTCTGGTGGGGGCGACCGGGAATGCAGTAACTTATCTCTCCCGAGCGGCCGCCGGGCGCAGCGGGACGGTGCGGGGGCACACCGGAGCCCGCCTTCCTCCCGCGCTCGGTCCCCCCAGGCCCGGCCCGGCCCCCGCGGTGCCCCAGGTCCCGCCGGCCGGACGCGCTCCACTCACCCGGATCCTCTGCTTGCAGCCGGGGCGGGGCGGCCACCGCGAGCAGCAGGGCCATGGACCGCGGCCGCGCCGGGCACGCGCCCGCCGCCCGCCCGCAGCCGGGGCCGGGGGTCACGGAAGGTAACGGTGTCGCCATCCCCGGCCGGGCCGCCCCCGCCAGCGCCACCGGGGGCCTTGGCACGGCACCCCCATGCCCCCAGAAGGGCGCGCCTGGCCCGATCAGCCCCCGGCGCTTTGCTGCAGTGCAAGTGGGAGCGCGAGCGTGCAGGGGTGTCCGGGCCGCCTGCACCCTGTCTGCGAGCACCCGCGGGCCGCCTCCCCGCAGCCCCCCGGCGCGCCCACTGGCCAGCCCTGCCCGCGGCCTGAGGACTTGGGGATTGAGCGAGGAGGGGGACGCGCGCGCCGGGCTGGTCCCGCGCGGCGCTCGCGGCGGCGGCTCCGCGCCCGCCCCGGGCAGAACAGGTTCCTTCCAGTTTGGGTGTGAGCGGCGCGCGCGGCGCCCGAGTTCCTCCTGCAGCGCCCACTTCCCTCCATTTCGTCAACTCGCGCACCCCCGCGGTTCCCCTTTCGGGAGTGGGGAGGGAGTGCCGCAGTGGGCCCCGGGGAGCGAGGGCCCCGCTGCTCCGGGTGCCTCGTGTCCCCCCCTTTGCTGCAGCAGCAGCATCCGCGTTGCGCGGAAGGAATGTGAGCAGCGGGGCTGAGTCAGCATCCCCGGCCGGAGGCGCGCGCGCCCTGCCCGGCGGGAGGCGACGTCGGCACAGGTGCACTGCTGCCTTGCCGGCCGGGAGCCTCGGTAGGGGACCGGAAGGTTTAGGGACTCGGTGCCCCTCATCCGGGAGACCCCGACCCCCAAGGTCACTGCTAGCTAAGTGGGTGATACACGGGAAACCTGTTATGAGCTCCTCATGGGGACAAAGCGTGTGTCGGCTCCCAGGCGTTTCAGAGCCCGCGGGGGCGCAAACTTGGCTTCATGGTCGCCACTTCGCACACCCAGGGCAAATTTGGAACTCCAGGGAAACAAAAACCATATTATTCGCCTTCCTTTACGGACTTGGGTTCCCTCCGGCTGCTCGGTTCATTGGGGTTCTGAGTCTGTGGTTCTGATGTCAGAAACTCAAGAGAGACTAGTTTGGGAGTGCATGCACGGAGGGTCGCCGCCGGGAGGAGTTGGCGATCTGAATTTTAATAAAAATCCTTCCCTGCTCGCTGGTTTCTCTCACCAATTTGGGATAGGGTCTGGTGGGTTAAATGCCATCCTTTGCTGTTAACTAGCTCTGGTTGGGTTAAGTGAGGAGCAGGTTCATTGGTGCAGTGAACATGTGTGATCTAATTTTAACCCCACCAGCAACCTTTTGCTTGTGACATTCATTACCCCCATTTTACAGATAAGGAAAGTCGAGGCACTGGGCACTGGAGGGATTTGCCCAAGCTTCCACCACATTTACAGATATGCACGGGCCCTTTTTGCAACTAGAGCTCAGCTCATCCTTAGTTGACGTTGGCCATCTGTGTTTGAAAAGTGGAAAGGTGGCTGGAAACCCAGCCTCAGCGCAGCCTTGTTAGCCACAAACCGATGACTTTTGCCCATTCTGGTTAAGGTCTGGGTTCACCTTGTTCCCCCAATCCTAGTGAGACCAAGCGTGAAAACCCCTGCTTTTTTAACTTCTCCGTGGAAAGCACTGCATTACCATGCTGAGCAAACCCCCCCAAACAAAACTAACTCTGTTTACTTCTAAATCAGAACAAAAGAACCTTTGGAGTCTGGAGAACAGGACCAAAAAAATCAGGAAATTAAGGGCTCAGCTTCCCTCTTAGCCTTTCCCATTGTGTCTGTCATAACCCAAGGGGCAGACAGAGCCCCCTCCAGCCCTTCCTTTACAGTGGCCAAAGCTATAATGATGCCCTTAGAAAGTCCCCCCGATATCTTCTTGGGAAAAAAATTGGCTCCTCCGAGCTGTCCCCAGGTCTCTCTCTTCTAGCGCTCTAGCTTAGGGTCATTTGCATGAGAACGGATTCCTTTGTGCAGAGTTGGCCTGCCTGTTCTCTGTCCACCCTTACACTCCTTGAAGTCTTCGTGTTGGGTTGCTAGGCAGATATGACCCTGGCTTGCAAATAAGCTCACTGCATTTACTAGCCTGTGAGAACTTCAACTTGGGTAAGTGGATTGAAAGGAATCTCAGAGGGGAGGGTCCTGCAAGCCTGCTTTTGGGGGCTGGGTCTTCAGGGCAATCACCACAGAGGGGGAGTAGATGTGGGGGCTTCTAAGGGAAGACCTCGGTCTCCCACCCACCCTTCACCCTTCTTCTTCCTGTCCCTGTTGCACCTACCGGGCTCCCGCCTAATGGCCCCATGTTCTGGATGAGCAGCTTGTAGTCCAGTGAAGCAAATACTTGCTTCGAAACTTTAATATCTGCTTCTCCAGCTGGCAGAGAACGTCACAGATTGTGCCACCTATTGAGGAACCTTTTCCATGAACTGGTGATCCAGGTGGTTGTGCTGGCTTTATCTTGTGGCTTGGGGCCCTCCCCTGCACCTCCCCCCTCCCTCCCTTTGACAGTTTGTAGGGAGGCGGGGCCCCTCAGTCTGGGGAATGCATGCTCCTGGGGTAATTTAAGGATTTGCCAAGGGGTTCTGACGCACAGATAGTGATGATAATAGTAATACTACCATGGGGCATATGGGAGGTTTAGCACTTGGCTGAGGGTCAAGTTCCTTAACTCTTGGGGGGGTGACTCTTTCAACCTGCGACTTCTGGGGGGATTGAGGAGGTGGAGATTGAGGAAGCCTAGAACAGGCAAGGAGGACCTTGGAAGGACTGGCAGAGGGCTGTTGAGCCAAGGGAGGGATGAACACCATCGGAGGAGGGCAGGAGGTAGGTGAGGGCATGCTGTATCTGGGGACAGCAAGGTCACCTTCCCACCTGTGCCTGTGGGGCCTGGGGTGATCTGACTTGTCCCATGCGTGGGTGCCATTCTGTGCAGCATGGATGTATTCCTGAGAGTGTCCTATTAACTCTGGAGTAACTTTTACTTGATTTCAACACTGAATTCCCTTCTCAGACTTCTCAATCTTCATAGTTGACTGCTCCTGTAGTTTGGCCGTCCTGTCACTGCTTAAAAATTTAAAACAACAATGACAACAGCAAAAAACAGAGAGCCCAGCCTTAGGGAGGCCTCTATCAAGTATCTTGATCCTGCTGACAAAAGTTGTAAAAAAAACCCCCAAATTTTGAAAGCAGAGTCATTTTAATCACAGTGAATTTAGGAGTAAATATTAAGCTTTACAACGTGACCATGGGTCATGAAATCTAATGGAAATGTTGGAAGGGGCTGTGCACGGGACCTCCGGGTTTTGCCCCGGTTAAATCAGGCTTTCTTTAGACAGTTGTTGAAGTTGCTCCACCTGCCATGTTCCTCAAGGCTCGGGGAATAAAAACCTGCTCTCCTGCTACGTTTCTTGCCTAGAGGGAGATGCTGCCTTTCCCTGTCCTGTCTAAACGTGCACTGCCTGTCCTTGCCTCTGGGTGCCCTGGAACAATAGTACGCAATAGTACTTCCATTTTAACCCTTTAGGGCCAGGGCCTCCCTGCATTTTCAGATGGCAAAGAAGCTAGAAGGATGCTCCAGGGTTGTGGAGAAGAGGCAAGGAGGAGCCCACACTGTCGTAGTCAGCGAAAGGCTCCAGTTCCGTTAGGTGAGCTCGCCAGAAATACCTGCAGGACTGGGTCCAGGGCGCCCCCATCCTTCCCTCCCACGCCCATCGTGCATCTGTCCGAGCGGCCTTGTTCATCCACAGCCCACTCGTGAGCACTGATGAATGCAGTCGTCTCCCGGGCCACAAAACCACCCCCCGGAGGATGTGGTTCCTTCTCTCAAAGTGTTTACATTCTACTTCAGGAGATAGGGCACAAGTGTGCTAGTTACCTAAAGCAGCATTTCAACAAGTGCAATTTTACAAGTGAGAATGACAAGTGAGCATTTCTGAGGAAGGAGAATCTTGGAAGGTTGTCTGAGGTTAGAGAAATGAGGCGGTGAAGCTGGCCTTCCCCAGCAGGGCAGAGCAGGCCGGGCCACTGATGTCCATATAACACGCACTGATTCAGCTAATATTGCCTGGACACTTTCCTGGCAAGGTACCAGAATTATGTAGTGCATGAAACATGCAGAACTTCCCTGCCTTTATGGAGTTTCCATATTAGATTTATGGATCTTTCTTGCTAGGGCACCTAGCTAGCCAACTGTCACGGACAAATAGTTCTTTCGGATGTTTCTGATGTTGAAATGTAATTCCCATTTTCAGTTAGCATCAACCAAGGGGAGATTCCTCTCACACCCACCCCACATCTTGACCTCGCATTGTTGTATTGTCCAACGCCAGATTTGCTGGAAGGCAGCGTACTCCAAGGATGCCCGCCGTCACCGGAGTGGCCCAGCTAAAGGGACATGGCTCAGGTCTAGCCAGGATGGCATAGGCAGCCATGGGATTGTGTAACAAGAAACCATAGTTAGAAACTTCAAAAATGTGAACCAGAATGACTTCATTTTCCCTTTGGCTTTGTTTGTGACTATAGTGTTTGTAAGCTTCTGCCTTCTCTGGGTTGAGAATCCAGCATCAGAACATGCTGATATACAGTTCTGGCAGACTCAGCCAATAGCTGCAGGGAGCCTGGATTTCAACATCTGTACTTGGAATAGTTTTATTTAATATTAATTTTAGCAATGTGTTGGGCTTGCATAGCACATTTTCAAAGGGTTCTCATATTTGTTATCTCTTTATCCTGAAAACAATTGAAAGATGGGGCTGGGCTTGTGCCTATAATCCCAGTACTTTGGGAGGCCAAGGTGAGAGGATCACTTGAAGCCAGGAGTTCAAGACCAGCCTGAGCAACGTAGCGAGACCCCATCTCTACAAAAAATTACAAAAATTAGCTGGACATGGTGGAGTCCATCTATAGTCCCAGCTACTCGGGAGGCTGAAGCAGGAGGGTCACCCGAGCCCAGGAGTTTGAGGTTGCAGCAAGCTATGATGACGTCACTGCACGCTAGTCCTGGCAGCTGATCGAGACTCTGTTGTGGGTTATGATACCTAATTGCAAATGTTGTCTGGGGAAAAAAACAATTGAGAGATGGAATAACAATAGCCAACATTTCTGAGCACTTCATAAGAACTGTGTTGGATTGTTTCATTCTCATATTGTGTTTGGGGTTGAGGACGTTTACTATGGCTCTATTTTTTAGACAAGTGAGGAAACTGGCATAGAGAGACTCAGTAACTTATCCAAACTTATGTAGCTAGCAAGGATGACTTTCCTTAATCCTGGATACACATTCTTTTGGAAACAGGGCAACACATACCCAAAATCAATCTCCTAAAAGACAAATTTGCCAAGTAACTGCTTCACTGAGTTGAGTGTTTTTTCCCCCTAGTTTTGGTCTCACTCCTACCTCAGCCTCAGCCTCAGTGGTTCTCAGATAAAACTTTAACAAGACTCTGTCTTAGTGTGCTCGGGATACTCCAATAAAATACCAAAGACTGGGTGGCATACACAGCAGACATTTATTTCTCACAGTTCTGGAGGCTGGGAAGTCTGAGATCAAGGGGCTGGCTGATTTGGTTCCTGGTGAGGGCTCTGTCCCTGGCTTGCAGACAGGGACCTTCTTGCTGTGTCCTCACAGGGTGGAGAGAGAGAGAGAGCGAGCAAAGTCTCTGGTGCTTCTCCGTGTGAGGGCACTAATCCCAGCATGAGGGCCCCACCCTCACGACCTCCTCTAAACCTAATCCCCTCCCAAAGCCCTATCTCCAAATACCAGCAAGTTGGGAGTTAGGGCTTTACCATACAAATTTTGGGGGCGTACAAATACTCCCTCTGTAACACAATCTAATATAGTTCATTGTAGAAGTAGAACGATCCAGGGCGAGGATAAAATCCACAAAAAGAAGAGATAGTAGTACATAGCACCTAAAAGAAAGTTCTCTATTCTCATACAAAAATGACAAAGGAAAAAAAAATGGAACTTTTTGACACACGAACCACTGATCAGGCTTAACACGACAAGGAGAAAGACAAGATGTATGAGGTAACCCTGCCAAAAGAATCAAACCTGCATCTGATCTCACCTCTACATTGACACACCAGCTGGCAGAAAAATAGGGGGTCCAGGGATCATTTTAAATGACACTAGGGGAGAAGCAATGAGCTAAATCCAAAATCTGAGAAATTTTGTAGGGCAAACAACCCAATTGATATTTACAAATCTATTGCAGAGAAAAAGAGAGGGGGAACCTATATGTGAAAAGAGAAGAGACAAATGAACCAAATGCAGCACGTGTTGGACATTGTTTGGATCCTAATTAGAACAAACAAACTAAAAAAAAAAATTGATGACAGTGGAGAACATCTGTGCACGGATTAGATTTTTGATGATACTAACACATTGTTAATTTTTTAAAGGAGGGTATTCATGGAGGGGTCGTGATATTTTAAAAGCATTCTTCTCTTTCAGCGAACCAGGTAGAAATATTTATAGATCAATTTATATGATATCTGGGGTTTGCTTTAAAATAATCCAATATATGTGGAGGGCGAGGCAAAGGGAAGACTATGGGGAAGCAACCGGCCGGACCGCGTGTCGATAATTAATTGTTGAGTCTAGACGTTAGGTAGGTGCATGTGAGTTTCTCAACTTCTGTATGTTTGACAACTCCCATAATAAAGTGTTTAACAAGTGATAAGTAAATACAGCTTTGTAAAAAGTCCTTAAAATTTGGCACTCGGCTTTCAGAGAGTGGATTTCAGGTAATTGGCCTTGAACCCTTTCGGTTGGACTGCATCACTCAGCACGCTCAGCATTTGTCCTCTCAAGTGGAGGACAGCGTTTGGAGGAAAGATGCTATTCAGAGGTCCGTCCATTCTCTCTCTGTTTTTCTGATCTGTGTGCCAGGGCCCAGATATAATTTCCGCAGGCCTACTGGGTTTCTAGAGGCATGGCATGACGCCACCTAGGCGCTCTCAAATTGGCACCTGCAGCGTGGCTTCCTTCTGTGACAGTCTCAACAGGTGGTTCCAGCCTAAAACTAGGCAGGATGTCATGTGCCCCCTGTGGGTGGGCTTCCTGGCATCCTTGGGTCCACAGAAGCTATATTCCCAGCAACTGGGTCTGGCTTGAGGTCTCCAAGTTTAAAAAAATAAAAAGCATTTAAATTTTCTAAGTGGTATTGTTCTCCCAGCCTGGATGGAGGCATTCAATCAGATATGTCCTTTGCACCCCTCTGCCACCGTACTCTAAGGAAGCAATCTTTGCAAGCTGGGCCAGCCCCGGAATGACATGTCGGGGTCCAGGGGCAAAGGGAGGGGATGCGAGGATGTTTGTTACATGGAAATATTAAATTTGTCCTGGCTGCAATGGCAACTGGGTCTTCCTGTCCACCTGGACTTGAACTAGGGTGAGGCAAAGTTTGAGGAGGTGCCTCCTGCCTGGGTCTGCGAGTGCAGGGCGACCACCCGGGAGAGAGTGCTGCCTCCTTAAATGTTGTGCCCTCGGCTCTTCTTCGCTGGTCGCATTCTCACCCTAGCCCTGTCTCTCTCCCAGACTGATGCAACGGGACTCCTAACTTCTCAGCTTCTTCCCTTACCTGCTGCCCCGCACCATGCATTTGTGTATTCTGGAGCCTCTTATAACATAAATCAAGTCTTGCTGCGGTTGCTCAGTCCTTCCTCTGGCTTCCCATTGCACGCAGCAAAAGCTTCCCATTTCCTCTCCGACAGTCTCATCCTCGCCCCTCCTCACTCCGCTGCTTTTCCAGTGGCTTCTTTGAGGCTCCTCACATGTGCCAGACCTTGGACTTGGCTGATGTCTCTGCAAGGCTTCCTGACGGCTGCATGGCTCCCTCCCTCCCCTCCTATAGGGCCTTGCCCAGACATCACTTTCTCCATGACATGGTCCCCTGCCACCCTCTTTAACTTTGCACCTACCCACCCGCACAGGCCTGATCCCCTCCCTGCTTTGGTTTTCCCCATAATATTTACACTTTACTGATTTCATTTCTCCTGCCCCACCACCCTGCCCCGCCACCCAAAAGTAAGTGGTGTGAGGGCAGGGGATTTTGTGGGTTCCATGCATGGCTGTATGCACCGCCTGGCTTGAGACCTGTCACCCAGTACACATTTGGTGGGCAAATGACTGAATGCATGGGAGAACCATTGCAGACTCCACATGGGCAGCCCGGGCCCACAGCCCCCTCGTGACTCCCTGCCTCCAGCCGGCACACACGCTGTGTTCCGATTTGACGGGTACAACAACAGTGCTCTGCAACCAGAGCCCCACTCCCCCTGCTCTTTTGTCTTTTTTGGCCTCAGCTCATCTGAAGCTTTTGTCTCCGGAAAACCAACAGAGCCCTCTGCCAGAAAGGTCTGCCCGACCTCCTTGTTATTTCAGCTGTTTTCAAGGTTCTCTAGGAGGATGCTTGGCCACAGAGAGGCCCATGGGGACCCAGGGTCAGGTGATGGAGTGAGTGGCTCAGGAAGCCCGAGGACTTCCAGCCCTGGCTTATTCAGACCCTGCTCACTGGCTCTTCAGGTTGCCTCGTCCCCTCCGCTGCTCAGCCCTTCTGGCCTGGTGGTCGGTTGGGGGCTCACTGGTGCCTTTACTCACAAGCCAGCCTGGGGACGGACCGTGAGGTCACACTTCAGCAGACTTAGCCTGCTTTAAAATGCAGGTTGCAGAGAAGGACATGAATCATTAGTCAAGCTCACTGGCAACTAAAGTTCACTGTATTCCTGCCCGGGGAGCATCGAGACGCGGATCCTTGTGCTCGGACCCATCATGGCCACTCGTGCCCTGATGGAACAGATGGGCCTTGCTTGTGGGATTTGTTGAGTAAAGTGGTCAGGTCCCTTCCACCCCGGTGGAAGGAGGGGCGAATCAGAGACTTCCCCCTTTCTTCCTAGCTGGGAGGGCAGCTCCTTGCCTGTGTCTCCTCTCCCTTCCAGGACACATAAAGAAAAAGTTGGGAAAGTGACATCAGATAACATGTGAGGGCAGCAGGTGGGGCCACTTTCTTTAGGGCATCTGAGCTCAGAGTTTGAGCTTGGATCTTCATGGAAGTCTTTGCCTGAGAGTCCATTCTTGGAACTTCTGCTTTGCCTTTTCCCTTTAGTTAAAAAAAAAAAAAAATAGGGAAGGGATTAAATATCTCCCTGGAGGTGTGGGTGTGAAGAATAATGCAAGGGTGTGCTGGCTAAATTAGCTTATTTCCATTCTATGAAAAATTTAAGTGTTAATGATTCTCTTTGAAAATCCTCAAAGGAATGTTTTATTATGGAACACTGAAGAAACACAATCTGTTTATTTATGTTCCCACCTTAATTTTAGCTTCTTTTCGTAAGTGAATTTCTTTCCCCTGAAGTCCTGTACGTTGGGTCATTCCCAAATGGATTACTGACCAGGAATGAGCCCGCTCTAGTGTTCCGGGCTAAGTAGCTTTGAGAAGAAAAGCTTCCTATGACTGTTGCTCATGGTTAGAAGCCAGTAGAATGAACTGGGAACCAACTAGCTGGTCAACAAGGGTTTGTTCAGCACCCTCCTTGTGCAAAAGCTCTTTCTTCTGGAAAGGGAGAAGTCTTTGGGGCCTCAAGATCAACAAATACCAGTTGAATCTAATTGAGTTTGAAATAATAGCTCTCCTTTTGGAAAAGGGAAGAATTTGCATTTCTGAACAATTGATTCATTGGCCTGCAGATGATCATGACTGTTTACTTGGACTTCCTTTTGTTTTGATTATGTGCCTATCTGCCGGTCCTTTTGATTTTATCTAAGTCTTCCAGAATTTACATACCTCCAGCCACCCCCAGCTACTCCAGCTGACCATTGGCTTGGCTGGCAGAGACCCACAACTGGAAGCAACATCTGTTGTAACCCTGGTCCTAGTGACATCTTTGTATGTTACAAATTGGTTCTCCTTTAACTCCCTCCATGGGTTGGGTGTGCAACTGAGGTTTTTTATTTGGTCCAGAATTTCGACTATGTGTCTTCTTATTAAACTTGCAAACTTAGGGCCTTTAAGGGAACTAGCAGTAATATGGTTTTATTCTCGGCTCCATTTGCAACCTGAAACTTAAAGTATAACCTTCAGTTCCTGTCTTTTAAAACCCAGTCTGATGAGTTGCTTTTGTGTTTGTCCACTGAAGCTGAGTCATCTCTAGTTAGGTTAAGCAGTTTCCTTTTTCTTCTAGGACCAGACTCATGATGATGTTTTTGTTTTCCAGTACCTTGCTATTCGAAGTGGGATCTAAGGCCCAGCAGTATGGGCCTCGCCCAGCTTTACCTATTGAGTCTGCATTTTAATAAACGAAACCCCCAGCTAATTCATATGTATATCCAAGTGTGAAAAAGCACTGGTTGGACTTGTCTTTAGATTTTCTTATTTAAAATTACATGGTCAGGCAGGGTGTGGTGGCTCAAGCCTGTAATCCTAGCACTCTGGGAGGCCGAGTCGTGCGGATTTCTTGAGGTCAGGAGTTCAAAACCAGCCTAAGCAAGAGCGAGACCCCGTCTCTACTATAAATAGAAATTAATTGGCCAACTAATATAGATAGAAAAAATTAGCCAGGCATGGTAGCGCATGCCTGTAGTCCCAGCTACTCAGGAGGCTGAGGCAGGAGGATTGCTTGAGCCCAGGAGTTTGAGGTTGCTGTGAGCTAGGCTGACGCCGAAGCACCCACTCTAGCCTGGGCAACAAAGCGGGACTCTGTCTCAAAAAAAATAAATAAAATTACATGGTCAGGATATTAAAGGGACACATTTCCATTAAGAAATTTTGTTCTAAATTTTATTATGAAAATTACAAACGTTCAGCAAAATTGAAAGAGTTCTAGCTGGGCATGGTGGCTCACGCCTATAATCCCAGCAGCTCAGGAGGCAGAGGGGAAGGATTGATTAAGCCCAGTTGTTTGAGACCAACATAGTGGTCTATGTTGCACCATGAGCAACATAGTAAGACCTTGTCTCTCCGAAAAATAAAAAATTGAAAAATGTTCTACAGTGAACACCCATATATCCTCTACTAAGATTCTATTATTAACCTTTTTTTACATTTTCTTTTTCCCCCAAATTAATTTCTATAGAGAATTTTATATAGAAATGTTAGGTTATAGCCTGACTGTTACAGAGGATCGTGTCTTGATGATAAGGGTCTCACTCTTTCTTCTAGATTTCTCAGTGGATTTGATAAAGGCACAAAATTTGGGAATTTTTTGTGGATCAGAGAAGCGTGGGGGTAGGGGTGGGTAAGCAGAGTTGGGGCTGGTCCTTGTTCCCCCCAGAATACTAGGCTTCGACCTCCTCATCTATACGGTGCGTGGGTTGAGCGAGATCATCTCTAATGTTACTTCCAAGCCTGTGACTATAGGTCCATTGCAAATATTATTATCATCACTATTTTTCAGGTGGAGAAATTGATGAACCAGTTAAAAATTCGAATAAAAAGGAAAACATCTGTTGGCATGGAAAAGTGATTATTTCCTAAGCTACTGAGTAAAACACAGCTGCACTGGCAATTTTAACTCTGTTTTCTTGTCAATTTTTGTTCTTTTAGGAAACTTCACAGAAACATGAAGCCCTCAACCATCTGGAGCTCAGAAACATATTTGAGGCTGACTGCAGCTTCTAGAACATCCAGGTGTTCTGCAGATGTGAGAATTCGTCCTGTAGTCACCAGATGGAGTCTCAAACAGATGCAAGGCTTATGCTGTGGTTCTAACACTCCTGAAGAAAGAGGGGTCACTTTCTAGGTGGCTAAAGAGCAGTCATTGACACTGGTGTCTAACTTTGAATATAACCTGTCATCTTACTGAGCCGTGGTGGGAAAACTGACTACAGGGGATCAAGCCAAATTAGGAGTTACAAGTTTCCCCGACTCTCTTGAATTAGGATTCCAGACGGGGGCGTCTCATTTTTATAGCCCCCATCACTCCTGCAGCCATTGTCACTGCCACCACTGGTGCCACCAGTATCTTCTTGCAAACTCCATCCCTACTCCCCAGGGACTCCCTGCATTGAAAGTGAGCAGAAAAGGAGCTCTTGGAAAAGTCTCAACAATCGGATCCTCCCCTCACCACCATGGGCTGGCTTTTTCTAAAGGTTTTGTTGGTGGGAGTGAGTCTCTCAGGATTTCTTTATCCTTTTGTGGATTTTTGTATCAGTGGGAAAACAAGAGGCCAGAAACCAAATTTCGTGATCATTTTGGCTGATGACATGGGGTGGGGTGACCTGGGAGCAAACTGGGCAGAAACAAAGGACACTGCCAACCTTGATAAGATGGCTTCAGAAGGAATGAGGTGAGTCTTGAGGGTGCCAAGCCAATTTCTCTTTTGATGTTTTACCCCAGTTCTTGTAGGTGGCACTTAAAGAGCAATTGATGGATCTGTGTTGATTTGATTAATTTATTAATTGATTTGGTTTGAAGCCAGTATAACGTCATGAAGAAATCCATTTGTCTGACCTCCATCCACCCATCCATCCATCCATCCACCTATCCATCTGCCCGTCCGTCCATTCATCCTTCCGTACATCTATCCATCCATCTTTCCATCCATCCACCCACCCAGTCATCCATACGTCCATCCACCCACCCATATGTCCATCCATCTATCCATATGTCTATCCATCTGTCCATCCTTCCATCCATCCATCCATCTGTCTACCCATCCATCCATCCACCTATCCATCTGCCCGTCTGTCCATTCATCCTTCTGTACATCTATCCATCCATCTGTCCATCCATCCACCCACCCATTCATCCATACGTCCATCCATCCACCCATATGTCCATCCATCTATCCATATGTCTATCCATCTGTTCATCCTTCCATCCATCCATCCATCTGTCCATCCATCCATCCATCCATCCATCTGTCCATCCATCCATCCATCCATCCATCCATCCATCTGTCCATCCATTCATCCATCTATCTGTCCATTCATCTATCCATCTATCTGATAACATTTATTATGTGCACTGGGAATACACAGAGGTGAACAAGATTAAAATTCTTGCCTTCAAGTTACTCATTGTCTGGCAGAGGAGATAAGTTAAAAGGAAAGTAAGAATTATAATCAAGTATGTGAGCCTGCATCAGGAGTTTTGGGAGTTCAGAGGGGGGTGTGTGGAACTCAGCCTGGGAGCTCAAGGGAGAAGATGGCCTTTGAAGAACAACTAAGTCCACGAGGCGCACAGACTTATTTATGAGAGAGTTGACTTACATTTAAGGCATTCTTAACTCTAAGGGACTGCAAAAGGGGAGAGGGCATGCATCTGACAGGTCAACGTGTTTATAAATCAGCCATCACAGATTTTTGTTCAAATGTCTAGCTCCTTTCCCCGCTTAGATGGAGAACAAGTGTCTGAGCTTCCAGGTTTCTGGGTTTTCTTCTTGGGCTAATGTTGGTCTGATTGGCCAGCACTGGGTTAAACTCCTCCGACTGGCTCGGTGGAAACCATTCCAGCTGGCTGGTTAGGGTGACATGCAGGGCACCTCTGCAGAGTTTGGGCCACTTGCATCCTTGAGCTTGGAGCTTTTCCCCTGAGGTGTGGGCCCTTGGAAGGTGGCATCCCCTGCATCTCATTGCACCCACTCCAGTTCCTTCTCCTCATCTCCACCAAGGCGAACTTTCTTAGAACACAAATTCTACTTCCAGTCATTCAGAGGCATTTTGTGGCCCTAAGGATAAAATCCAAACTCTGTTCTACATCTAACAAACTGAGTTTCCTCTTGCCCCTTCTTTCTTGCAGCCGTCTTCACTTGTTGTCTCCCGGGCCTCGTGTGATGGGTTCTTCCTGGTGCACTCTCCCCTCCTCCATTTAATCAGCTTCTGCTCACTATTTAGGTCTCAGTTCTACATGAGGGCTTCGGGAAAGGTTTCTTGGACACCTCAGGTGTTCTCTGTCATTGTCCTCGTTGCTTTTGATGGTGACTGTTTCATGGTCTGACTGGCTGTGTTAGGTCGAATGGCACCCTGGGGTAGAATCTGTTCTGATTCATGTCTACCCAACATGTGACCTTATTTGGACGTCGGGTCTTTGCAAATGTTATTAGTTAAGGACCTCGATGATATCACAATGGAGCGTGGGTCCTAAATCCAATGGCTAGTATCCTTATAAGAAGAGAAGACACAGAGAGACACACAAAGAGAAGGTAACATGAGGAGGGAGGCAGAGATTGGTGAGATGCTACTACAAGCCAAGAACTCCAAGGGCTGCCAGCCACTCCCAGAAGCCAAATGGAAGTCAGGGGGCAGATTCCCCCTCAGAGCCCCCAGAAAGAATCCTGCCGGCCTCCTGATTTCAGACCTATAGTCCCCTGAACTGTGGTTTAAAGCCACCCAGTTTGTGGTAATATGTTACAGCAGCCACAGAAAACTCATATATACGTCCCATCTAGCTCTGAACTATTTAGGAAGAAAAGTTCCTCGTCTATTCTTCTTCTCCACTTATATCCCTTCCATGTAGCACAGTGCCTGGCACATAGCGGGCAATTAATAAATATTTATTCACCAATAAGTGAGGTTTTAAGAGCTCAAAATGCCCTGAAATGGCATCCCAAATTTTGCATATAGGGATTTTTTTTTTTCCTGGAGAGAGAGTTAATCCATACATGGCATTTACCAGACCCTCAAACGGACCCGGGTTGCCAAAAGCTGAAGAACTTCTGCTTTCCGTGTCTGGCGGGCTAGTGGGGCAGTAGCAGGCCCACTGTTCACGTGGAGATTTGCGAGCCCTGCCCGTTTTTCTCTCGAGCTGTCACCACCAGCAACACGCTTCCGGGCAGAAAGGGCGTCTCGTGGTTCAGATGCAAATGTGGTTTGGTGGGCTCTCTCGCGCCTTTTTTCCTTCCTGTGTGCAAGTATTCTCTCCATCTGAGCCTGGTAATGGGGGCCAGGTGGACGGCCCACCGGGCTGAGGTCCGTGGCTTTGCATGCTGCGCTGTGGGCAGGGAAGTCCAACTTCCTGTGCGGCCACGCCTTGGTTCATCACGCGGTCTCCGCGGCCGGCTCACGGCCCGTGGGGAACCGTGACTTTCAGACGGGAACTCTCATTGCCAAACAGGGTCTAGGGGTGGCTTGAGAAAGTTTCTTTTCTGTGTTCTTCTTTTTATTAGTCTGCGGGTCTCCTAGGACCCCTGGAACAATTAGTACAAACCGAGTGGCTTAAAACAGCATTTGTTTGTCCTTTTGCAGCTCAGGAGGGCAGGAGCCTGAAATCAAGGTGCCAGCAGGGTTGGCTTCTGCTGGGAGCTCCGAGGGAGAATCTGTTCTCTGCCTCTGTCCTAGCTTCTGCTGCCTGCCGGCAATCCTGGGGCCCTTGGCTTGTTGACTCCGATCTCTGCTCCAGTTGTTACGTGGTGTTCTTGGGTGCATGCGTCCAAACTTGGGTGCATGCATCCTCTTCCAGTAAAGATACCAGTCATTGGATTAAGGCCGCTCTAATTCAGTGTGACCTCATCTGCAAAGACCCTATTTCCAAATAACGTCACATGCACAGATTCTGGCTTGATGTAAAATTTGGGGGAACATTTTCCAACCCAGTACAGTTGACTCTATGACATATCCCTTTTCCTCTGCTTCCAACAGTCTTCTAACGCCGTAGGTGCTCAATCAGTGTTTGCTGCACTAAAGACTAAATGTCATGCTTAAGAGGACCAGAGCCACATGGTTCGAGCCCAAATCCCAGATCTGCCACTTTCTATTCCTCTGACCCTGGGCAAGCCATGTATGTCACTTCTTGGAGCTTTTCTTTCCTCTTTTGTAAATGGGGACAGCAATAGCACCCATCTCTCATAGCGTGTTGTGAGGATTAAATTAAGGAAAATATGTAAGTAGTTAGCATGGAGCCTAGCATACTATAGACATGGATATCTGTTATCTATGGTTATTTTTGTTATTGTTATTAGAAATAATGTCCCTTTGAATTGTCAGTGTGAATTGGCTACTATGTGTGATAAAAGGTCCAAATGACAAAACAAGGAAGGAGGATGTGGGGTTCCAGTGACAAATCCCTCTTAATTCCTATGTATATGTGCACAGAGGGACAAGCTCTGTGTTTAAATCAACACAATAGCTGCAACAATAGCTAACCTAGGGGTGGGGAACCTGCGGCCTTAAGGCCACGTGTGGCCTTCTAGGCCTTTTGAATGAATCCAAATTTTACAGAACAAATCCTTTCATTTTTATTAATACATTTTTGTTTGTCTTTTATATTTTTATTTTATTTTTAAAATGAACATATTTCAAATACCAAAGAATAAAATAAGTTTCAATGAAATAATCCTCCCAGATTGACCAGCACAATTAGAACATTAGTTAACCATAAGGGCTAAATTGACAGTTGCTGTGCTCATTGATTTAGTTCTAACTTCCCCCACCCGACTGGCGCCACTACTACACGAGGCTGATTGACGAGAGTTTATGGAAGTCGAGTACACCATTCTGTTATCAGCGTTTGACAACGGTGCACTGTGTTTCTGTTTGAAGTGGAATTTGTGAATAGTCACACAGCTCCACAGCATTTTTTTAATTCTGTCTGCTTAACAACCAATCATGTCGAAGAAGACCAAGAGAACACTGAAGGAAGAAAACAGATTTTTTAGTGAGGATTGAGAATTGCAACATTCTCTTGTTTCTGCTAAAGATAAGATCGTTTGCTTGCTTTGTGATACTGCAATACCAACATTAAAGAAATTCAGTGCTCATCAGTATTATAACACTCATAAGGACCATATATGTTTTAGAGTGAGAAAAGTTGCCAAAGGTTGTACTGCAGAAATTAAAAGATGGAAGGCAAAAGCAAAGACAATTCTTTCAAGCAGCAATAAAACCTGGAAATAATGCCATGGAAGCAACTTACGCAGTAGCTTATATACTCTTAAAAAGGGAAGGCATCAGTGATGTAGAAATTGTGAAAGAATGCATTGCCAAAGTTGTAGGATGCTTAGACCTTGATAAAATTTCAAAGTACAAACAATTGCCTCTTTCAAGGAGAACCGTAACTGATTGGCACCATGAATTAGCCTTCAACTTAGCAGAGCAACTTCCTGCAATACTTCAAAAGGAAAAAATATATTATTCAATAGGTTTGGATCAATCAACTGATACTACTGACTTGGCACAGGTTTTATACATCTTCTGGGTCATAATGGAAGATTTTCTTTGCTACGAAGAGTTACCTGCTTTGGGTACTCTTATGAACAGAACACAAGGAATAGATATCTTCGACAACTGTCAAGATAAATGTCGTGAGTTGGACTGAATTTGGTAAATTTAGTGAGTGTATGTACAGATG